AAAGGAAGAAAAAAATAAATTTCCAATATTAGAAATGAAAAAGGAGACTTTATAATAAATGAAGACATAAAGGAAGTTATTAGAAACTTTTGCCCAATTATAGGCCAACAAAGTTTATGACATAAATGAAATAAATGGATTTTTATTTTTAAAAAACTACCTACATAATAATAACAGAAATGGATTATTTAAATAGCCTAATATCAGAAAAAGAAATTGAGCAAATTTAAGAACACAAGCTTTTCCTCAACTGATTTGTCACAGGATACAAACACTTTTTTGAGGGGGCAAGGGGGGTGGTAGAGGAAGTGATAACGATACTGCAAAAAGAAGAAAAGAAATAAAAATGTCAATCAGTCATTTAAAAATAAGTAAGGGAGAAAAATTTTAAAGGGTACATGGATAAGCAAGACAATGCTTAAACTACCATGTCAAATTTGAAATATACAAAAACCTCGAAGTAGTAGAGAATCAAAGTTTCATATACAGGCCTCTTTTTCTTTCTTTGTATGGGAAAATGTTGATGTTTGTCATATTTATAATAAGGGATAATTTTAAATACAAAATTTTATTTTAATTATTTTATTTTTAATTTTAATTTTTAATTAAAATTTTAAGCTTTACATTTTTTAAAGTTTGAAAAATGTATTTATAGAACTGAACTCAACACTCCAGATGCGGAACACAGCGGGATATGAAATCCCAAGAGTAGGACATTTAATATGTATTATATCTAGGCAGCTAAGTGGTACAATGGGTAGAGTGCCAGGCCTGGAGTCAAGAAGTTCTAAGTTCAAATTTGACCTCAGATGCTTAGCTGTGTGACTCTGAGAAAGTCACTTAACCTCTGTGTGCCTCCATTTCCTTATCTGTAAGATGGAGATGGTAATAGCACCTACCCCACAGGGTTGTTGTGAAGATCAAGTAAGATAACGGAAAAGCACTTAGTATGGCATGTGGCACATATTAGGCCCTATATACATGTTAGCTATTGTTAATAATTATCAGTATTAATTCAACCTTAGTTTGTGTTGATATTCTTAGTAGCTGGCTCACATGTAAATCAGTTCATACAAAGTTAGAGATGCCTCTGAGAGAGTTCCAGGGGTCTTCATGTCCCTACTTATTCTCAAGAGAGAAAGCAATTAGTGTCAGTTTCAAGACTCATGGTTGCTCTGCCAACATGGTAGGCCTATAATAAAGCTCTCTTTCCCTGTTTTCCAGGCCCTGAAATCTGAGTTCAGGGAAGGTTGGGGGTTGTTGTTCTTAATCAGCAAGAATGTGGAGTCTAGATGAAGAAATAGTAGATTAGGGTTTGAGATTTCAGAAAGCATCAGGAGAAAGCTCAGTAGTTCATTATCCATACTTTATCACTGGATGCCAGAATAAAGAAGATTTATGAGCTCTGGCTGGCCTGAAACGAATGATAAATTTAGAACTAGTGAACTCTTCTTGATAATGTAAAGAGTTATGCAGTAGAAATTAGAAGAAAGGAAGAAGTCATTAAGCCTGACCCAAGGCCTGGCCTTGGAGGTTACTTTGAAAAATGGGAGTCATAGGGGTTAGTGTGTCACCTTCTCGATGTGAGGGTTTGGTTGTCTTTCTTTTAAGGATGAACTATCAAGGTTCAAGAAATAGAGGTTCTTAATGTCATAAATTCTTAGAGTTGGAAAGAATCTCCGAGCTCATCGTGCCCAATTTCCATAGGAAACATACTTTCCATCTATATCATCCCTGACAAGGGGTCTTATGGTCTCCAGTGACGGAAAAACTCACTCATTCCTGACATCACTTATGCTATTTTTGGATAGCTTAGCTTTAGACAGTGAGAAGTATTATCAGCCTGAGATTGTAATTTGAAAATGATGTATTTTGAGAAAGTTGATCTATATGTCCTGTGGTGATACTTACCAAGATAAAGTAGGACTTGTTTTGAGAATTCACAAGGTTATGCATGGTATTTTTATGATTTAGAGAGAGGAGGCTATCCCTTATGGGCACTTACTCATTCAGCTAGATCTGTGATCTCATCATTTTGAGAATTGCACCCAACAGTTTAGATTGCAGCCCATTTGTGTCTGCCAATCTATTTTTTCTTTCTTTTTTTTTTTATTAGAACTTAACAAATACTGCATTATTTCCATATACACTGCAGAATAGAAGGAGGGGAAAACTATCATCCTCTATTTTGTAGAATTTGGATTTCTTTTAAAAGACATAACACATTCACCATGTAACTTTCAAAGCTATCCTGCTTGTCTGTGATTCCATCTGGCCTCCATTTTGTTCTTCTCATTTTGGGGGGGGAACTCTATTCTTCCTCTATTCTCCTTCCTATCTCTATCTCCTCTCCCCCACTGGCAAGAAAAACAAAACCATTCTAGCAAGTGAAACAAGTTCCCATATCAGTCATGTCCAAAAATGTCTATCTCGTCCTGCCTCTGGTGTCCATCACACCTCCGACAGGAGGAGGGTTGCTGTACATTTTATGTGGCTCTTTTCCATGCATTTCCATACTCTTGTCACAGGGCATCTGCCTAGGTTTTTAGGGCTCTTGCATTATGAGGATGCTAGTAGAGCACACAGGCCTTCTATCAACTGATGCCCTAGTGAACAGTCTACTTCATATCCTCCCATGTCATCATGTGGCCACTCCATCCTCATTGTTGCTCTTCTATTCCTTTGATAACCTTCTCTTTTGTGATGTTGCAGCCTGCTGGTTTACTCTCAAATTCAATACCTCAAAACTATAAAGACCTGTTAGTAGTAACAATAGCTGACATTTATATAAGATGTTTAGGTTTATAGAGCAATTTACATACATTATTTTTTTAAACCTTACATAATAAAACCGGTTTGAGTCTTAATTTTGCCATTTTTATGGCCTACGGCTCCAACCTTCATCACATTCCAACTAAGCAACTGAATTCGTCAACTAGCTATGAGAATATTATATATTTTCATTTGGTGTTGCTTTAAACCTCGTCTTCTCAGTTCTGGGCTCACTCTTTAGGAAAGGTTTTGACAAATTCAGATGTGACTGGGATAGTGAAGGGACTGAAAAGAATGCTACTTGAGGGAAATAGGGAATTTTAGCTTGAAGAAGAGAAGAATTGGAGGGGACATGATAGTTGTCATTTTTTTTTTCTGCTTCAATCCAGAGATGAGACCTAGGAATCGCATTCCTCTTATTGGTGGAAGTTGTAAAGGAGATTTTGGCTTGATTTAAGGAAAAATGTTTTTAACAATTAGTGACGTCCCAATATAGGAAGGCTAGTGAGCTCCTTCATCCCTGGAGATCTTTCAGTGGAGAGTGGATGCCCATAGAGAAGATTCCTCTTCTGGTACAAATTGGACTGGAGGTCTCTTCCAATTCTGAGATTCTGTTTTCTTAATTGTCCTTCTTTATAGTGTGCTGAAATCTACCTCCCTGTAAGGTTACCAACTGGTTCTTTTGCTGTCTGGGACAAAGCAGAGTAAAGTGGTTCTATGATCATCCACATTAGCTATAGCACTTAACTCATACGTGCTTGAGAATCAATTTCAGAAGCGCAGCAGGGGTATGTTTTCCCCACTGAAGGCTGTGGCGTCCCAATGATGAGACCACCCTTTGCAGGGGTGGTCTGATCTGAAAGGTAGTGTGTCCCCAGCACAAGGGAATCTGTTGAGTTATGATCCAGCCAACGTGGGTAAGCACTGACTTAATCCCATCTTGGCTACTGATGCCCTTATGTCATGGGTGCTTCTCTTTTTCCCATGGCCACAGCCAGGTCTTGGGATCAAAACCCTGCATAGTCTGGCACTGGCTTCAACAGAAAGGATCCTAATGGAGGTGTGAGCAGGCACTGGAAGCCTCTGAAAGCACTCTTGGCTCTTAAGGTGCCAGATTAAATTTAGGACCAAACTGCTTAGAATACTTTGGCTCCAGGGACATTGCATAAATGGCCATGGAGATGGGAGAAGAAAGAGGGCATGGTGGATGAATTGGGTATAAAGATTCTAAAATAATAGATTAGGTCAAATTTCAAACTTCCTTATTTCAGTTCAACTTTGAGACTGAAGGAGAGTTTATAGGGTCAGAAATGACATGAAGAAGCCTATGACATCTAGTGTATATATGAATGTAGAATTTGGAAGAGCTGCATGGTAACCACTTCCCTGAGAAACATAGAATTTGGCAGGGAATACTGACATGTCCCTCAGGTGACAATGTCTAGGACCAAAGAAAGAAAACTATCATGTTCAGTTTCTTTGTGTTGATAGATTTTCCTGTTCAGGTTGAGATGTATTTTTGCCTGAATTATAGATATAATATGTTTTATACAAAGATATTTATAATTAATTGTAGGTTAAAAACTCATGGGAAGCCACATAAGCTGGATTATGTTTCTTATTGAATCCTACTTGTTCTGTATGACTTCCCCTGGGGCTGTGAGCAGAAAAGGGGATTAGTTATAGAATTCAGTGGTTGGGAGTGATTTAGCAAGCCTAAATAAGTAAGCTTAAGTAAGATAGCATCTCAACAAATAGAGCAACAGGGCTCTTTACTCCATCCTTAGGTGGGGAAGGAGTATTTCACTGGATAACCTGAGACAGCTGGTGGCACAGTGGCCTATTGTTGGGAAGACTTAAGTTCAAATACGGCTTCTGACATTTCCTAGCTGCACGACCCTGGGCAAGTCACTTAACCTCTGTTTGCTTCAGATTCCTCAACTATAAAATAGGGGTAAGAGCATTTACCTTGCAGAGTTTTGTGAGACTCAAATGAGATAAAATCTGTAAAACAAAAGCACTTAGCACAGTGCCTGGCACATAGTAGACACCACATAAATGCTTATTCCCTACCCTCAACTCCTTCTCCCTAAAGTCTAACTTTAGCCTTTAATTGCAATTTAGTCCCCAGTCTCTCATCTCTATTTCCTACAGGGATGGAGGCTGGATTTAATAATTCTGCTCATAACAGAAGAGAGCATAAGAAAGGCCATATTGTTTTAGGCATATATTTTATTTAATCTAGTATTTTGGCTTAGAAAAAGGCACCAGGGGATATTTTTAGGAGAATATTGTGGCTGCCCTTCATGACATCCTCCTCAGAAATTATTGCATTTCCCCAACTCTCCTTCATAATTTGGAGTTTCTTCTTCCATGGACTTCCCTTAAGACTGTCTTGAAAGTATTTCTGTTTCTTCTCCACTGACGTCCTGCTATGATGTCTCATTAGGCCACGAAGGTGAAATAGGGTTCTTGAAGACTATGCCACTACAGAACAAGCTCTGGTTAGTTCTCTCAAACTGAAAAGACCTTGAGTAAGCGCCAGTGATGTACTAGCTGTCTGCCTCGGAATTAGGTGAGGGGAGGAAGTGGCCACAAGTTGGCGAACTTTTCCTATAGCAGCTCTTGAAGCCCAACTATCAACCAAACTGTAGAGAGGCTGCAATCTGCATCTGTGGAGAGAATACTTACCACCAGAATCACATACGTATTATTAAAGTCCTTATTTCTAGCCTATACTGCTTCCAACTCTACCCTTTACCTTCCATGATTTAATAAAAAAGAGGGGAAATTTCCCTAGGATCACTCACCACCAAATCCCAAATAGTGGTGGAGAGACCAACTCTCTTCTCTGAAGAAGGAAGGTCAAAGGCCACATGTCCTCAAAATGATGGTCTCTAAGGGCTCACAAGCCACCTTTTGTGACCTCTTCCCAGGTTGAAACTGCTTAGGGGCTGGCTAGTCAATATGTATAATTCTTTATTCATGGCAAGAGTTTGGTTTTCTAGAGTAGCAACCATTTTGTTTTCATTTTAAGAATGATGAGATTATAGATTTGACTTTAGGTAAACAGCAGGAAAAGGACAACTAAGGGCCATATAATGACTTGGTACATCTTGGTTGAGCAGAACAGTTGGACCACATCAGCCATTAAACATTGATGTTTAAAAAAAAATTGATGGAGAAATAGAATATGAAGGACACTGGAACATAATGGGTGAACAAAATTACATCAAGATTTGGGAGTCAACATTTCAGTAAGAGGCATGGTATAACTCTTAAATTTGTCCCTGAAAACTTTCACCCTAATGTCTGCAAATGGAGAAGACATTATCCCACCCAACCAAACTAATGATGTTATCTATCTCTGTAGGAGAGTCATGGATGTCTTGAGGACAGTTCACAATTCAATTCAATAAATATTTGTGAAACATCTACTGTGTACAAGTACATCTACCTGCTAGGCAGTAGAGGTACAGAAGTCTTCCTACTTCTCCTCTTCCTCCCCCCCTCCAAAAAAAAAAGGCAGTTCTTGCCTGAAAGGAATTTATAATTTGTTATTTTTTTAAAAAGACAAATAAAGAAATTAATTGATCCCAAAACAAGTCTGGCCTATACACCCTTGACCTTCCATTCCCACCCTACCTTCTTTCCCAAGAAAGAGATTTCAGATAGAGCTTCAACCAGCCATGCTTCATTTTAGTTATCTATATGGAATTGAGGAGCTATTGTAGTTTCTCTGGGCTCAAAGACCTGGCTATTTCTTGTAGATCCCTTTGAGCTTAATAGAAACCCTAACTGGTCTCTTTTGAAGTTTAGTCTTAGGAAAGGCCCCAGCATATCCTCTTAGGCCACTTGAAATTGTGTGGTGGTTGAGTTAACTTTGACCTTCTGGTCTCATTCGTTTTTTTTTTCCTTTCTTCCTATCTTTTTTTTTTTTAAATTCTTGTCCTCTCCTTCCCTGATTAGCCTGCCCCACTTCTGCTTGTTTATGATACTTTTTTTCCATCCACAGCAAAACAATTCACATCAAGGTAATTGATGATGAGGAGTATGAGAAAAACAAGAATTACTTCATTGAACTGATGGGGCCCCGCATGGTGGATATGAGTTTACAGAAAGGTGTAGTACCCTGTCCTCCACACTAACATTAACACTCTTTCTTCTTCTTTCACCTCCTATTTTTCTTCCCCCTCTCTTCTCACTCTTGTTACTCACTCTCCCTTTTCCTCTCATATTCTCCTTTCCTGTTCTCTCTCTGTTTCTCTGCTCAATCCTTAACACTGCCGTGCACACGTCAGCCTGTCACATGGTACCCATAAGGGATCTCTTCAGTGGCACTTGTTTCTTTGTGGAATCAGGGTGGGACCAAGGGAATGGGTGCAGAGAGAGAGAAAAGGAGAGAGACCGACAGAGAAGACAGGGAGGGAAGTAGGAAGAAAAGATTCTGGGCAATATTACACTGGAGGCTTTCTCCTACCCCCCCCAGATGACTGGCAACCAGGAAAGAAATAGTTCACTTAGGGCACAAAATAACTTGTCTCCAGAGAAAATTGTTTGTATGATCTCTGCTGTCAAAGAGTTTACAATCTAAAAGGAAGGGTTCTTAACTTTTTTTTTTTGGTGTTACTGACCCCTTTGGCAATCTGATGATGCCTCCTTCTCTCATTCTCCAATTCCTCAACCTTTTCTCAAACAAATTTCCTTGATGGTTGGGGAAGAGAAGGGAAAGAAAGGGATGTTATGAAGGTCAGTCCTCCCTTTTCCCCCACAGCTTCACTCACTAGCTTGGATTAAATATATTCTACTCATAAGTTCTTTGGAAGTAGGTGAAACCTCTGGAATAATGTTTTTTAAATGAAGAAAATTGAGTAGAAATAGACATAGGATTTCAAAGGAAACCAATTATACTGAAATATAGTTATCAAAATATTAAAAAAAAAGTTCATGGTGACCAGGTTAAGCGCCCTTGATCTAAAGGGAGACAAGATAGGGAAAATACACAGGAACACATGGAACAAAACCCCATAAACAAAGAAGCATCCTAGGGAGCTGAGCACAGATATACACAACCATCTACCGAGGTGACAGTTGTCTAGATTGCTGGCATCTATGTAGAACAAGTGATCCTTACAACAAAAAAAGCAAACCTACAAAACTTCACTGAAATGAGGGAGGAAACCAATTCAGCAGACACTACCTAAAGATTCAGGCTTAAGAAATGCTCAAGTCCTCTCAGCCCCCAGGGCCATTTCAGCCTCAGTCCAATGCAAGCAGCTAAAAATAAGTATAAGGATGTGGCTGCCGTGCGTGTGTGTGTGTGTGTGTGTGTGTGTGTGTGTGTGTGTGTGTGTGTGTGTGTGTGTGTGTGTGTGTCAAAGGAACAGTACTGAAATGGAGGCTGCCTAGCTGTGTGCCAGTAGGTTTGTAGTGGTTACAATCACAGAAAATCCCTACCTCTGGCTTTTAGTTTTACTTCCTTTTCTTTTAAAGAAGTTAGATACTTTGTTGAGCTACTCAGAGACAGAAAATTATCGTCCTCCTGTGTCTGTATCAAGATAAGTCAAGTCAACAAGCAATTACTAGGCATTTGCTATAATGCTAGGTGTTGTGTTAGGCACTGGGGGGATTTTTTTCTCGTAGTGATTAATTGTGACATGTAGTGGAGCCAACTTTTGGGACACAGCACTGCTTATATTAATATAATTATATAATACCATATTATACATAATTATGTAAGCTAATGGGCATTTAGGATTCAATTTACATAATTCTGTTTTACAGGCAACTTATAAATGATGTGCCTGTTGCAGTTGTGGAAGGGCACCTTTGACATGTCTTTTCTACCAACAAAGCTCTGAAACAGGAAAAAAAGGCATAGTATTCAATCAGCCATCTTAGAGCCAGAGAGAGTATAGGAAGAGTTGTTTCTCCCTCTCTCTTTCTCCAGCTCTCTATTCCCCTTATGTTTAGATCTTTCATGAAAGATTAGTATTAGGCCATGGGAGGTAAATTATCGCCTTGGCTATATTGCCCAATCAGCTAACAGGGTGCCATCAATACCATGTGATGCCAGATGGAATGTGTGTGGCAGAAAGATACCTCCCACTAACCATCAGCGGGGACTAAATCTTCTCCCTGTCTTCTCCTACCCCTTTCCTCCTTCTCCCCTCCTACCTGTCATTCCTGCTTCCTCCACCTCCCTTCCCAACTCACCTGTAAGAATTACAACTGAGATGCTAAGAAAAACAGAGACCAGTTATTATTATTATGATTATTTTTAGAATGACAACCAAAAACCCCCAAACCTACAAAAAGCCAAAACAACCACCACCACCACCACCACCAAAAACCACTATAATCCTGCCTATGGCCGTGGCGGGATGGGGCTGCATGTGATGAGAGCAATGGGTACTATATTGCAGAATGCACTCCAGGAGACCAGCAAACCAACCCACTATACACACTGTCTCTCTTGTTGTCCCTACAGGAAAACCGTAAGGGTTAAAATAGTAGATGAGGAGGAATACGAAAGGCAAGAGAATTTCTTCATTGCCCTTGGTGAACCGAAATGGATGGAACGTGGAATATCAGGTGTGAGATTCTTAAAAAGGAAGAAAGAAAAACATTTTTAAAAATGAAAATTTTAAAAACAAAAAAAGCAAATGAAATAAGCTCTACATTTCTCCCCTTTTTCCTCCCTTCTCCTCCTTCCTCTTTTAGACCAATGGACTTTTTTTATTCTTTACTTGTCCTGTATTCTCGCTCTCACCCTGTTTCGGTATCATCTCTGCCTTTGTAGCCTTAGCTTATTTCCAGTCCTCCTTTCCACCTTCTGTGCAGCTGCAGCAGCCCCAATTTATGATTAATCCCCCTCCCCCTTTAGTTTTCTTTCCTTTGTGTTTCTGATGATGCATTCTTCCCTCCCTTCCCCCACTCCTCAATCTCTTCTCATGCAAACTCCTTGGTGGTTGGGGGAGAGAAGGAAAAGAAAGGGATGCTATGCATGTCTGTCCTCCCTCCCTCCCTACTCCCTCCCCCACTAGCCTGGATTGAATGCTGCTCCTGAGTTCTTTGGAAGTAGGGCTGGGCTGGGGTGGGGGTGGGGTGGGAGAGGGAAGGAGTAACCCAGCTCTCTGGGTTTGTTATGAGGATGCTTTGATGGGCTCTTTTTTTTTGCTGCATTCCACCCCCTCAATTGAGTGCTTACCAGGCTGACCACATGTTCCCTCTTCCTTGGATTGAGGTAAGTGTGCCTGCTTGCCTCTGTTTCATAGATGGTGAAACAAGGCAAAGAATAAAGAGAGTACCTGCTGGACGCCATGAAGAGAAGGTAGCTAGGAATCCAGAATCCCCAGCTGCCTCTCCCCAGCTGTGTTTCCAACTACTAGATGGTAACTTAATACTTACTGTTTATTTTGGGGATAAAGCAATGTCCCATTGGTGATAAAGCTATGTTCCCTTGTCCCACCACCCTCCCAACATAATAATACAAGATCCAGATGTGACAAAAGCATGGAAATTTCCTATTTGTTGGATCTCCTAGCAAGGGCTAATGGAAACTGGAGATGGCCTAGCCAGTAGGGTTGGCCCATTTTCCAGGGGATGGGTTTTCTAGATCAGAGGAAGATAGGGGCATTGTAGCTTTTATTTCTGCCGTTGCTTGTAAAATGAGAACTGTTTTCA